ATTCAATTGTTCGTGTGAACTTGGTATAAGTCTACACAACAACTAGATGTGGTAAATCATAATTAAACAAGTAAGAGTGTTATATTCGCCCATGCCAAATCTTATATACCCACCATCAAATCATCCTTATAAATAAACTTTGATATTATCGAAGCAATTTTCTCATTTATTAATATAAACGTCAGGGAAATATTTGGAAGAGGTCCTAAGTCATTTTCTAATGGGGACTTTAATAGGGGTGTAGGGTAGGGGCTCATACAAATCTTGTTTATGTGAAATTTCATCGCTGTAGTCTTATTTGAGCGTTAGAGCCAGTAACGAGTGTTATAGTAATTTTCTGAGGGAGACCTTATATGGAGGGTGGGGTCAATTATAGACCGATCACCATAAAATTTGATAAAGAGTTTTTGGCTACCAAAAAACTTGTTTATGTAAAATTTCACTGCTGTAATCGCATTTTTGAGTCAGTAATGAGCGTTAAAGTCATTTTCTGAAAGGGACATTATAGGGGGGTAAGGTCAATTATAGACTAATCCTCATAAAATTTAGTATAGAGGTTTTGGCTCATACGAAATTTGTTTATGTCGAATTTCATCGCTGTACTCCCAGCCAGTAATGAACGTTATAGTAATTTTCTGAAGGGGACCTTATATGGAAGGTAGGGTCAATTATAGACTCATCCTTATAAAATTTGATAGAGAGCTTTTGGCTCCCACTAAACTTGTTCATGTATAATTTTATCGCTGTACTCACATTTTTGACTCAGTAATGAGCGTTAAAGTCATTTTCTGAAAAGAACCTTATATGGGGGTAGGGTCAATAATGAACCCATCCTCATACAATTTAAGAAAATGATTTAAGTTCCTATAAAACGTTTTTATTTCAATTTTGATTGCTAATATGCTTGTTAAGAAGAAGCATATAAGCATTAAAGACATTTTCTGAAAGGGACCTTATATGGGGTGTAGGGTTAATTATGGACCGATCCTTATAAAATTTTACGAAGAGATTTAAGTTCCTATTAAATATGTTCCTGTCGAATTTCACCGCTATAGATGTTTCTTTTAGAGAGTTATGAGTGTTAAAGTCATTTTCTGAAGGGGGCCTAGGCGATATTGCCCATTTTCAATACCAAACAAACTGCATTAAACAAAAGTATCTATGCAAAATTTCAGCTCGCTAGCTGCTTCCATTTGAATTCTATCGTTTTTCAACAGACAGACAGACGGATAGACATGGCTAGATCATCTTAGAATCTAATAATGACCCAAAATATATATCGAGGGACTATATTCAATAGTCTCTATCTGTCATTTTCATGAAAATAAGATTTTGATGGCAAAATATCGAGAAAACTATCCCGCATCAGTGACATAAATTTCAAAAGGAAAAAATATTTTTTGGCAATTTTATAGAAATTTTTAAACTTCTCTATCTTAAAAAAAGAAAAATTCTGAATGCAAAACTCTCTGTCCTTTCCAAAAATTGCTTCAAACTGTATTATTTTGGATAATTTTCTGTTGCAAAACAAGTGTTTTTACTAATTTGGATATGCTGAACACAAAAATATTTGAAATCGGTTTAATAGTTTTCGAGAAATTGCTCATTATGATACTAATTTGATTAATTATATTCAAAGCATGGAAAGAATGAATTATATTTGGAATTAATTCCCTTATATTTTTAATTCGGCTTTAAATTTTTGAATGTACCATTCTTTAAAATCATTCTTTGAATTTAAATTCTAAAGCTGAATTCCTTGGCTTTATATTCCACTGAATTAATTCCTAAGAGAATTCATTCTTTATAGGAATGAATTCAATTGAATGATCATTCATATTTGTTTAATTCCTTCTATTACAAATTGAATGAAAGAAAAAAAATTAATTGAATTTTTAATATACAGAATGTTTTTGAATTATAAAACAAAACTTTCATTCAATCTATTTCAAATTGAATGGTTGAAAAATTTTTAAATTCAATTTTTAATAGATTGAATTCAAACAAAATTTAAAGCATTCAGAGGGAATTTAAAAATCAATAGGAATTGTTGAAATTTATTTTAATTAAATTTGTAACAGATTGAATGCAAACAAAATTAATTCATTCAGAAGGAATTTAACATTCTATAGGAATTAATTCATTAGAGAATTAATTCAACCACATCGAAAGCTTTAAGAATTAATTCCAGGAATTAAATCAAAGGGAATAAGTTGGAAGAATTGTTAATTCTTTAAAATATAACTCAATTTAAAAAAAGAATTAGGGAATGAATTCTTTTAGTGCTTTGATTATATTGCCGTGTTTAACCATATAACACTGATTTTGGACCAAACCCTTATAATCTGTTGCTTTTTCAACAATTTGGTTTATATCACTTCATTAAATTACATAACATAAAATATAATATTTATTGATATTAAATCAAATAACAAATTTATATTTCTATGAAAAACTTTCTATCTTAAGGTTGTAGAAAAACTTTCGTAGAAAAAAAGCTCTATCTGATATGGTTAGGTTAGGTTAAGTTGATAGAAGGATGTATACTACATCAAATCCGAAGAAATACACCTAGGCCACTATCGGGCCTGTTGTGCGCTCCAATTCAAGAAAAAAAAAATTGTTCACTGAATGTATTATTTTTCCATGTTCAGAAACTCAGTTTCCTGGACGTAATTCCTAAGAATCTTCCAATCGGTGTTGGTTAAGAATGTTATTTCCGGAATAACATCACTTCCAAGAAACTTGGAATGGCAAAGAAAGTGCTCCAGAGTTTCCTCTCCACATGCTCTAAATTCGTCTGAATCCGCACGCCCAATTTTGTATAGATGTGCTCGTAATCCTGTGTGTCCACTGAGAATACGTACCATCATACTAACCTCAGACTTGCTCTCATCAGGGTCACCCCATAGAATCTTTGTGGTTCTACCCACCGTTTCATTATTCCAAGAGGCCTTATGGGATTCTCTCATCCATATTTTTAATTCAGCTTTTGTTGCGTCGAATGGTTTTGCGTTTGTCAGGTTAACTACATCGAGCTCCCTTCCCTTTAAAGCTATTACATTCGCCCTTTCGTTGCCGACTACTCCCGAGTGGCCTGGTACCCATATGATGTGAACCTTACCTCTGGGAGAGTATTCAGTTAAAGCTTTCTTACAATCAAGTAAACACACTTTTATATTTTTTACGGAAATGTGTAAAATATTTAGATCTAAATACAAATTTTTATATTTTTTTTCATTTTTTTACAATTCAGTACCATTTTTCACCCCACCTTATTTGAAAACATATTTTTAATTTTTTTTTTTTATTTTAGCCCATATTTTTATGAAACGTTGAAAATCAGATAAAAACTGACAGAAATAGAATTTTTTTCGTAAAACCAAAAATTTACCAAATTCTTCATTTCTAAAGTAAATTAGCAATTTGAATAATAAAGCTTATATTTGTAGAGATGGGAAAAAGGTAAAAACCAAATTGGTAAATACCCAGTAAAATGGATAAATTGGGTAAAAATGGGTAAATAATCAGGTGTTTACAAAAAAGCTTGGTATAAACTAAGTTGTACACAATTAAAATTTAAACACGCGGATTGTAAGAAGTAAAAATTAATTAATTTATTATTAAATTATATAAAGTGGATGCTGCATCTGTAAATGTGATAACAGTTATAGATATGCATGTGTTCTTTTGTAGATATTTTTTTTAAGAGATTCCAATTACGTGCTATAAAACCCTTTTACTTACCCTCAATTTACCCATACATTGGGTAAATACCGTTTATTTTTTATTGTTTATTAACAAACACTTAAAAATTTTTAAATTTGTATGAAAATTATGCGAGTTAGTTTACCAAACGCTGATTTTCTTGAGATTTTGCTCAATTAAGCTATATTTATTAAAGGAATACAGAAGGATATTTTTGAATATAATTATCCTTGTGTTGAAACTATAGTATTTAACCAATATTATTATTAAAGTACAAGACATACATAGAAAAAATTATTGGTAGTTTATTTATAATTAACTTTTTTCTTATTCTCTCATTTTTATTTAAACAATGTTTTATTTGTATTAATTATCTTATTGTTTTAAACCTAAGTTTATAATTTTGATTAAATTTTAATTGAATCAATTAATTTTTTATATTACTGAAAATGTTTTTCCAGACAACTTTTTTAATTTGGTTTTTGTTTTGCTATTTTCTTTAAATATTTTCATGATTTATAATGCAAAAATATTTATAATTCTTAAATAGTCAATAATATTTTAGGCATAAGAAGTTTCATGACTATTTTAAAATTTATAAATCACTTTATTTGTTCAAATGTGGCAACAAAGTGATATTTTTGAGAGTGCTTAAAGCATTGTTAAAGGTAAAGCATTCCTTTAACGGTGTGAGCATGCAATAAATGCTTTGATTGTTTCAATCATCGACCTAATTGATTTAATTTAAATTATTTAATTAATAAACTAATTAAAATTTAAGTTTTATATTATTAAATACTTAATTTTATTCAATTAATGAATTAATTAATTTTAAATTTTAGTTTAATTACTGATGTTAATTGTTTTGATTACTTCTTAAACTGGGAAAAAAATATTTTTTTAAAAAATTTTATAATTGATGTAATTATTTTGTTGATAGGTGCAAAACTTGCTTGATACAATTATTTTGATAATTTAAACACATTTTCAGTTTTTTCTGTGTAGGCTTTAATACGTGACAAATCGGATAGTTTAGAAAATATAACTTTTCTACCTTTGTTGAAAAAAAATCTTAAAAAATATGAACTTTGAACCTCGATAAAATCTAAAATGTAACGAATTTTTAAATTTTGTATGCATGTGAAGTATGTATCGATTTTCGTCGAAATGTTCAAAATTGCAATTTTTGTTTCCAAATATGTTTTATGATATTACCCATTATTATTACACATAGTGAATCGAATTCTAATTAACATTGAATTATATGTTTTACTTATAAAAACATGAATTAACATTGTATTTTTAGGATTGAAAATGGATAAAATAAATGAGTGTGTTAAACCAGCAAAAGACAAGTGGAAAATTGTTTTTTTTATATTTTTACTTCATGGACTTGGAACTCTTATGCCCTGGAATATGTTTATAACAGCAAAAAGTGTAAGTAATCGTTTTGTTTTCAATTACCAAAATCTCATTTTTAATTATTTTTTATTGAAGTTCAACATATAACAAAAATTTTTGGAAATATTTTCAATTATAGGCACAATCAACTGGATTATGAAAATAATTGAAATTAACTTAATAATTCAACAATAATTTTTAACAAAATACTTAAAAAAGTAATTGATTTTACCAAAAGTAACAATTACTATTTTCTGATTTGTGAGTAATGGTAATTGTTTTATTTTTTAATAAGATGAGAATAAATACTGTTTTTATATTGATATAGGTCAATGAATTTATTTAGTTAGTATAATTTAATTTAACAAAATTTAAAAGAAATAACTGAGAAATCTTTGCACATTTCTTTTTTAATGGAAAATCATACAAAAAAATCGGGGGAAAATTTGTAAAAACTATTAGACTTTACCGGAAGTTAAAAACATAAAATATTTTAAAAAGTATATCAACGGCATCCAATATTTTTAAAAATTTTATCTATGGTCATTAAAAAGGATTGATGTGGTTTTTATATTATTAACACGATCAACAATTTTGGTTCTATTTTCCTGTCTTGAAGTTTTAGTATATTTAGTTTGGCATCTAACTCCTCTTGAGTTTCACCAAACGACTCTTGAGAATCAATAATAGTATAGTTTTTCTGTATTTTATTTCTACAATTTTTTGTGGGGGTGGAAATAGATAATGTAAATACCAAAATATATAGGGGCTTTGTTATATGAGTTTATTTGTAATTTTAAACTACCTTCTTTAACATATAAATCAGCCTTATTCAAAGTTTTTACAACGATCGAAGATGAAATTTTTGATTTCAAATAATGTAGTATTTTGTTATCACAAGATGACCATCTAGATTTAATATTTTTGGCCATTGGAAATTTTATTTCAAAATCTATTCAATCTAAAATACATAAAATAAATTTATTGACTGTATTTCAAAATAATCATTTAGGTTTTACCAATTGCGTACTCCGGCCATTTTTCAAAAATGTGTTTTATGGACTCAGACTTCCAGTAAATTACGAGTTCCTCTGAAATAACAGTTGGAAATCTTAGATTCTTTAGGGCAACTGAGTAGTTTTATTCAGTTTCTATGTAATATATTAAATATTTAGGTCGCCATAAAGTCATATATCATAAAAGATATCTGGTAAATCTATGCCTAGATCTGGTAACTCTATGCCTAGATAGTTTATTTTTGTCGTACGGCTGATCATTCTGTGTGCAAAATAATAATTAATTAATTCTGGATAAACATTACCCCAGTTTTCAATAAATGTACTGAAATTCTTTTTTAAAAATTATTTGTTGAATAACTATTACAACGTGCTGTTTGCTTTTTCATTTTGTGTGTTGCTTGCCGCCATATTTGTTTCTAAAACTTTTTGGTACAAAATAAAAATAATTGCATTTTCATAAATACCACTGAAGTTCATTGAAGCTTTATTTTGATATTGTATTTGTGGTCAAGTGGAGTGTTGTTTTTGTTGCTGGTGGAGATTTGCTGCTGCCATCACTTGCCGCCATTTTTGTGGTTAAGTGTAGTGAAGATACTACTGTAGGTGAGGTTTCTGCTGTTCTGGTAGACTAGTGCACTTGGCGACATTTGTAGTGGAGTGTTGTTTCTTCCGTCTCATCCTAATATGCCGCCAACTAGCGTCCTATGTAAAAATGCTCTTTATGGATTTATGTCAGCTGTGCCGGTCGGCAAGAGAAAGCACTGTCGTTATTAAAAGACAATAAGTATTTATTTTTTATCTGCACCAACTGTGATAAGAATCCAAACTCTGGTATGGATAGGCTGCGTGAAAGATGTGTGCCATGAACTCGAAGCTTGATCAATTCATTGATAAAGTGGATAGGAACAGAGTTCCATTCAGCAAACATTAATGGACACTGTAGCTGGTTTTAGAACTGAAATGGCAAATTTCTTTAAAGACATGAAGACGGAAATACTCTTGGCTTGGATGATCTAGTGGCTCCTATTATTAAAATTGGATCTATCTATAATATTCCCATTTCACCTGTCGACATAAATCATGCCTTCTATTTTAAAAATCGTAAAGCCGTCTTGGTGAAGTTCAACAGTGTGTTTTTGCGTGACCAAACTATGGTGGAATACTTTAAAACTAGAACACTAAAAGTGTGTGCGAAATTCATCATTTTCAAATCGGTTGAGTTCAAATCGCTCGAATTCCATCACATACCGGATTATAAATAAGTTTAAAATTTTGAATGGTAACAAATTACGAGTTAAGTTGACCATGGCTGATGGAAAACATGTAATATGTGACTCCGCTGAATGTGCTCCTTTATTTAATAAGTAAATTTAGGTATTTGCCTACTTTATTGCTATATTATTTGTATTTGAAAATTTTGTTATGATATCTTTCGCTTTATGCGTAATCTGAATTAGTAAATATATAAATTAAATGCAATATATTTTTATATTTTAGATCAGCTGTATTTTAGTTGAAAATGAATCGTTTTGTATTGAAATTTTTTATAATATGCTTTAATGTGTCTTTTGTTAATTGCACTTTGTTTTGTTTCCCCATCATCTTGTTAATTAGTGTCACTTGATGCCAATATTGGTCCAGCTTTCAGTAGCAAATTGTATATCAACTCTCTAAATTTACATACTCATAATTTAAACATTGGCCATCTTAACTGTCAGAGCATTAGGCCCTCTTCTAATTATTCCAAGATTGACGAATTTAAATCTATTTTATCTGACTCGTTACTGGATATATTTGCGGTTAGTGAAACTTGGTTGAAACCTTATATTTCGTCAAGAGCTATAGATATATCAGGGTATACGTTCAATCGTAATGATCGACTTAACTCGAGAGGTGCGTATGTAAGGATTTATATATCTAAAAAATATGGTATTTCAGATCTTATAGTTGGGTCTTTGTGAATCTCTTTTTGTAGAAATGGATTATAAGAACTCAAAATTATTATTTTGTGTTGTATACTTACCTACGAGTGATATACATTTCTTTGAAAACTTTCACAGTGAGTTATTTTTAAAATATGCTAATATTATTATTGTAGGTGATTTCAATTGCAATATGTTTGATATCAACAAATCTAACATTGTTCGAACATTATGTTTTAGAAATAATTTGTCAGTTCCCCAGTGTTCTGTATTTCGTCATTTTTCACTTTTACATAAAAACGCATAAAAATACAAATATATTAAAAAATACAGTTTTTTCAACTATAAATATTTATTATTTGCTTACTTTTTGTACTTTATCAATTAATAAATTTTTATTTTTCTAACACAGAAAAAATTAATACATCACAGGAATGAATGAATCGAACATGACTTTTTTCCCCAAACCATTGTCATTCAAAATATTAAATGTTCATAAAATGTCTAAACTTGTACATGACGGTAATTTTTTGAATTTTTTTCAACGATATTCATGAAATAATTGCATAAAAGTCTATTATTTAATATTCTGTTTACATAGTATAGTAATCCTATATTAGCGAATTTTGTATAATAAAAAATATAAATTTAAATGTTGAATAACAAAATCTAAAACAGGAAATCATCAGCAAACATAGTTAACATACATACAGACATACAGAGTTTTATAAAAATTCATATAATTTTATTTGTTTGAATTTTCAATACAAAAATGTAACTCTGGTTGTAAATTAAAATTCTACAACAACAAAAAATAAACGTCAATAATAAATAAAGAATAACATTTTCGGTTTGCTCAAAATGCTTAAAGTATTTTAAAAAAATTTACTATGTCGCGTAAAACCCGCTATTAATTCGGATATGTAAGTAGAAATTTTAAGTATTTTGACACAATAATATTTTTCACCAGGGTGTTGAATTCACACAGGACCCGTATGTGGCGTATTCTTAAGGGAGTTGGTGTTAAGGATGATTGTACAATTCATGATAGTGATGTAAATCTAATTAATGATTACTTTGCTGGTATAGATAATGATGGTAATTCGAATGAATTTAGTATTGATGACAGTTGGAATGATATTGGTTCGTTTTCGTTTCATTGTGTGGATGAACTTGAGGTGTTAGAGACTTTGGGGAAGGTTAAATCACAGTCTATTGGTATTTACAATACTCCTATCAAATTTATTAGCTTGATTTTTCCACTTGTATCTAATTATACTGTGGATCTATTTAACCAAATTTTAACAACATCCACTTTTCCATCTTGTTGGAAAATTGCTCGTGTTGTTCCAATCCCAAAGACGAGGGTTATTCATGATCTTGATTATTATTCTTGATTTCTATTCTTCCAGCGTTGTCTAAGGTATTGGAACACATTATGAAGTAGCAGATGATTTCATCTATATTATCTATGCTATATGAAGGCCAATATGCGTTTCGTAAGGGTTATTGTTGCTACTTAGTCTTACTGATCATATTAGGAATAATATTAATAATGATAATTTGAGTGTTCTAGTTTCCTTAGATTTTTCTAAAGCCTTTATTTCAATTTGTTTTGTCACGTTATTAAATAAGCTTATGAATGAGTTTAACTTTTCTTCATCGGGGTGTATACTCATATTAACTTATCTCAGATGTAGATCTCAATTTGTTGAATATAATGGTCTTAGTTCTTCTTTACGCTCTCTTTTCTCTGTTCCTCAGAGAAATGATTTTTCCTTAATGGTCATATGAAGATGTTTAGGAGTGACTTTGGACTGTCTTTGAAAATCATATTGACTGACATTTTTCGATATATAAGATATACTCTATGAATTTGTACTTACCGTTACGTGTGAGATATAATCTGGCCCATTCTCTGTTGTTTTCACAGATTTTATATTGCATTGAAATATATACCGGTACGAACGCCACTCTATTTAGAAAAATTAACAGTGCACAGTGGGGCAGAATCGAAATTTTTTGGAAATAAATCTGGCATTTCTAAACGGCTGATCCGATCGGCATAAAATTTGGCGTGAGCGTAGCCAAGGAG